CCTGAAATCCAATCCCTGCCTTCCCCGACATGTAAGTCCTTCTCTCCCCCCCTTGCCTGAGCCCAGCCCCTTATCCTATACTATATAAGTCTGTGTACCCCTCAATAAATTTGGCATTGCTTCCTCACCCTCACCTGTGTCCTGACCCTTGCTGCAGTCCCCTGTCCCATTCCTTTATACCCACGAACTGTGGCACCTCCCCATAAAATGACCAGAAACTCATCCAAATCTCCCCAAAAATGACCCAAAACTCAGCCAAATCTCCTCCCAAATGTGACCTAAACACACCAAAATCTCCCCAAAAAATTAAAAGAAACTCACCCAAATCTCCCCAAAAAATGACCACAAACTCAAACAAATCACCCCAAAATATGACCAGTATCGGCGGAGAGGCTCGGACAGAATTGCACACGAATCAATATGATTGGCAAAAATGTCCCCTTTATTCGAGGAAAGGCAGCTTATATGCTGCCTGTGGCACAGAGACATGTGATTCTTCCCCAGGTTACATTGGATACATAAGGAAAACATACTGTGGTGTACAGCACTAATTGGATAACAGCAGGTGTCCATAAAACTTGTTTTCCTGACAGAACAACTCCTCCTTCACCTTGGTACAAGGCCTGCAGCCATATTAGTGGCGCAGTATCTTTTTACTATCTGCACCAAACCATGCCAAGGTGAAGGTCTCAGAAATGCAATAGAAATTGTTCACACAATTTCTGTCCTCCGACAAATGCCCTGTTGGAATTTGAACAATTTAAATTGCATTTCTGTAACATTCCTTATTGTACCCATAACATTTCAGTCAACGCAGATATACATTAACACTACTATCATTACTAAACTTAACCTTTTGACCTCAAGATGTGTGTTCAAAAATTGTACCTAAAAGTGAGGGTTGATTCTTAAAACTTCCACTCCCGTCAGAAAATCCTTGGAAATGGAACTCCATTAAACTCTGGGCTATATGTTTTCTATTATTCTTTTTCACACCTTGACCCTTAAACAACACAATGACATAATCATATATTAACACTGGATCTTCTGTTTCTATTGCACTTTTTGCATACCATTCTATTGCAGCCCGGAGAGTGTATTTCAGGATTTTTTACCATTTTATGTAAAAGTATCGGTGTATTTGTTTATTCAAAAATGTTTATGTATGTGTAAGTGAATATTCACACATATACATGCATACATTTTCATTCGTTCACTTTCACATGGTGGCCACCATCATTCAAACACGCTTCACACAAACATACTTTTGAATCTCATTTCACTGTGTCTCATGAAGTATGAGACCCTACTAATTCTCTAGTACTTTTTGGTGTGAAGGTTTCTCCATCAAACAGGAAAACTTTCCTCCACCAGTAACTCAGTGAATAATCTAAGATCTTTACCTTCTAAAATTATATGCTTAAACATACTGACAAACTGTGCTCCAACAAAACTAAAAATACTGTGCCTTAACAACACTAAAATGTGCACATAATGCTGAAAAACTGTGCTCTTTTAATACTTACTTTAAAGTTCGTACAATACACTCTCTTAAATCCTTAATGTCATGTGCTTAAACAATATACTAAAAAGGTGTATATGACTAAGAAAAACTGTGCTTATAATACTAAAAAGAACTGTGCTCCAAAAACTATGTTCTAACAATATTGAAGAAACTGTTAGCCACAACAGCTCCTGATGTTACCATTGTTACCCGCAGAAAACAGCATCAACCTTGTTTTCTTTCCAAGGTTTCATTCATCATGCAGGTAGCTACAAACACCTGTGTAAAAAAAACCCCCTTAACATACGAAACAACTTTTGCAAATGAACTGAGGGGGCTGCCACCTATTCTCTCCCCGTTTCTGTCTTGCAAAAGTGTTGTACAAATTCTTAAATCACTGACCTCTATACCAAAGACATAGTATTGTCTGGCAATTTGGTAGTAGTTTTCAAAGTATACAAGTAATCCACCCTTTTAAAGTTTTTCTAGTTTGGATACCATATAGAATTTTACCTCAAAAATTGGTATGTCACAATCACATATAATTTTGGGTAGACTCGTAACCCAAGAGGTTTCTGTCATATGCCGATTCCAAATAAATCTTGCCACCCGCTGTAACGCTACTGTGATGAAACACATACAAAGATGAGCACAGCAAGATAATCAATGTCTGATGTAGAATCCTCAAACCACACCAGTCTGTCCGATTTTCACAAACATCACTGGTGTGACATGAACAGCACAGAAAACAAACCATTGTATACAGCGACAACCATTAGACCTCAGGATGTTAAACCACTATACCAATGCCCCAAAAGGAACACTGTGATCTGCAAAAATAAAAAATTTAGCAATGATCAATTAGTGAAACAAATTTAGAATATAAAACCCGCTCTACTTGCTGGATGGTTTGAACTGCTCTTTTAGTCAGTTCCCTTGGTTTCCGAGGATTGTCAGAATGTTTGAGTAGGTCAAATAGAGGTGCCAGCTGGGTGTTTGCCAATTCCAAATAGGACTTAATCCAATTGAAAGACCCTCATAGCTTTTGTACATCAGTAAGAATTCTTGACATCAATATCCAATTGAACTGGCTGAGGAATAACTGCTTTCCTTGTAATTTTTGAACCCTAAATACTTCCAGGGTTCCTCTCGCTGCACCTTCTCAGGAGCAACTATTAGGCCAAAGGATTGTAGACTCTTTCTGGTTTCAGCTTCCAACACACTCAACTGATCCTCAGTGACCACAACCAGCAGAAATATTACCTATATATTGACAACAAAAGACAGTCAGAAAATTGCAGGAGACAATGTTGGAATCATAAACCACCGACAAATTATAGGAATATTTTCATTTCTTGGGAGAGGGTTTTCTATGTGTAACACTTGTAAGGTTCTGCATGATCAATAGATGGAACTGACAATGTGATCTTTTCTTCTCTATAACTGGAGTCTAACTATAACTGGTGTACTCTGGTCTCCAATCAGGAGGCCTAGAGACACACTATCTGTAGAGCTGTTGATGCTTCTGAGAAAGGACGCAGGATGGCCCTGACAGTCTGCAGGGCCCCCCCCCCGGCAACAGGCTGATCAAGCAGGGCAGCAACATCGATAACCCTTGATTTAAACCCTGGAAAACACAGAAAAGTTCAAACGACCCTGCCTCCTGCACAGCCCACACAGCTACAGCCCATGGGCAGCATGACACATGAAAAAGGAACAGCACCGGGGGAAAGGCTCCACCTGAGATTTAACCTCTATAAGCCTCTGAAACAAGGTTGAAATAGAACACCAAATTTGTGTAAGAATCTCTTATTTAACTTCAGTCCTAATTATATGGTTAGTCAGACAGGGTTTAGCTTTAGCTTTTACCTTTAACACTGCTGCAAGAACAACTTGGCAGCACACAATTCAGGAAAGTTTGTCTCTAAATCTTGGCTAAATCCATAATACAAATATAATCATATTATAACTTTCTATGCTGGAGAAAAATGTAAGTTGTGAGTCCAACTCTGATCCTTGCTTGCTAGCAATATAATACCACATACAAAAAGAATAAGTGGAAAGACTTCGTCGGTGACAGAGATTTCCCCAACTCCGGAGTAGTAGATTCAGGGATCTAGAGAGATATTTTACCTAAGAATTAAGGAAATCCCCAGCCGGCTAGTTTTCCCCTCATCCTACCTGCAGATTTGTAGTTTTTGTAAGGTAATTTCTACTCTCTCCCTAGATCTGAGAAACTGCTGGAGGTGGTTTGAGTCCCACCCAGGTGCTAAGCAACAAATGATCTCTATTGTGTGAACTTTTTGTCTCCTCCTGTTAAGGCTGAACACGAAATTTGGGCAGAAGGTTTTTACAGGAGTAAAATGTAACTAAAACCAAGGCAATTCACTAAAGCTTTTATATAAAGATTCATTCCCTGGGAAACTCTTAAAATTTCTTGCATGCTAACTTTTAGTAAAACACAATCTTTTAATTTTAAGTCATCTACAAGTGAGTAGAAGGACTAAAGAGAGAGATTCTGCTTTCTGTTCTCAATTACTGTCATGTCCGGATTCTGCAGGGTTACTCCCCTGCAAGCCAGTCACCGCCGAGCTGCTGTTCCCCGGGCCGCCCCTCGCGCTGTGCAGCTCCTGGGGATCCCCGCAGAAGTCTGACTGGCTCTGCAGAAGTAGTTGTCAGCGTTACTTCTGTCGCTGAGGAGCCTCTGTCGCTGAGGTCTCTCTGTCGCCTCTTGCTGTGGCTGCCAGCGCCGCCTCCCCCATGGCTGAGCTCGGCGCAGTGGCAGCTCCGAACCCTGCCGCGCGGCCCCAGCGCCGGCACACCGGACTCTGGCAGCTGTTTGAATAATCCTGGAAACCCGTGTCCTCTTTTTTTTTTTTTTTTTTTTCGAAAACAGCGTCCCTTGCCAAGGCAGCGAGCCACAGTGGTTGTCTTCTGGGTTTCATGGAGGCCTCAGGTGCCAGCGATGCAGCGCCATCTAGCGATGCGGAGGCTCCTGGCAGCGTCGTTCCAGGTGACACAGGCACAGTAGCAGGCACAGTGAAGAGTGACACCGCCGACTGCGCAGCCGCAGTAGAGAGTGGTGCCGCTGGCACGGTTCCAACTTTAGTCTCCGCCGCTACTGATTTTCCTGCAGCCTCTACACGTCCTGCTGCTACATACACGGTGCTAAACAGAGGTGATCCCGCTGCTTTCAAACTTCCTAGCATTCGCAACTTTGCAGCCGCAGGCACGGGGATCTCCCCTACAACGGACAGACCGGGGCAGGGACTTACCGTAGTCCTGCCATCTCCTGACAGAGCTGTCTGAACATTTATGAGTTCCTGTCGCTCAGAACTTAAGTCTTGTAGTGACTCAACTGCCAGACACCCAACCATAGTACACCTTCTAGCGTCCCCTGATCCCGCAGAGAACTTGTCCCAAAACAATTCCTTTATAGTGTCCCTTGTGGACACCTGAAAGGCGGTGTGAGTAGTGGGAAGTAGATTCCTCGCTCTCACCCAGTCCATTAACCCCTTAGGGGCTTTTTCATCAGAAACAGGCTCTCCTACAAAGAATATATATCGGAGGAGCGTTTCCACGGCCTCATCCTCTTTGGATGCCGCAGGCCCCATGCTCACCGGGCCAGAGTAAGATTTCCTCGGTGCCATGCGCACGGCCTTTACTACAGCGCCGGGGACAGTGCTGTCTTCACAACCGCATCCCTCAGCTCCTTCGTCCGCCTTACATCCCTGCAGAACTCTGCGAAGTAAAACTCCCTGTTAAACGGGCACCAGATATCGGCAGAGAGGTTCGGACAGAATTGCACACGAATCAGTATGATTGGCAAAAATGTCCCCTTTATTCGAGGAAAGGCAGCTTATATGCTGCCTGTGGCACAGAGACATGTGATTCTTCCCCAGGTTACATTGGATACATAAGGAAAACATACTGTGGTGTACAGTACTAATTGGATAACAGCAGGTGTCCATAAAACTTGTATTCCTGACAGAACAACTCCTCCTTCACCTTGGCACAAGGTCTGCAACCATATTAGTGGCGCAGTATCTTTTTACTGTCTGCACCACGCCATGCAAAGGTGAAGGTCTCAGAAATGCAATAGAAATTGTTCACACAATTTCTGTCCTCCGACAGACCAGAAACTCACAAACTCTCCCCCAAAAATGATCTAAACCTAACCAAAATATCCCCAAAAAATCACCAGAAACTCACCCAAATCTCCCCAAAAAATGACTCAAAACTCAGAGAAATCACCCCAAAGTATGACCAGAAACTCACAAAAATCTCCCCAGAAAATGACCAAAAACTCAGAGAAATCACCCCAAAGTATGACCAGAAACTCAAGGAAATCTCCCCAAAAAATAACCCAAAACCCACCCTAATCTCCCCAAAAAATGACAAACAAAGAAACTCACACAAATCTCCCCAAAGTATGACCAGAAACTAACTCAAATCTCCCCAAAAAATGACCAGAAACTCACCCAAATCTCCCCAAAAAACGACAAGAAACTCACCCAAATCTGCCCAAAAAATGACCACAAACTCACCCAAATCTCCGCAAAAAATGACCCAAAACTCACCGAAATATCCCCAAAAAATCACCAGAAACTCAAACAAATGTCCCTAAAAAATGACCAAAAACTCAAATAAATCTAACCAAAATATGACCAGAAACTCACACAAACCTCCCCAAAAAATGACCACAAACTCACCCAAATCTCCCCAGAAAATGACCACAAACTCACCCAAATCACCCCCAAAAATGACCCAAAACTCAACCAAATCTCCCCCAAAAAGTGACCTCAAACTCACCAAAATCTCCCCAAAAACTGACCAGAAACTCACCCAAATCTCCCCAAAAAATGACCAGAAACTCACCCAAATCTCCCCAGAAAATGACCACAAACTCAAACAAATCACCACAAAAATTACCCAAAACTCACACAAATCTCCCAAAAATATGACCAGAAACTCACAGAAATCTCCCCAAAGTATGACCAGAAACTCACCAAACTCTCCCCAAAAAATGACCAGAAACTCACCCAAATCTCCCCCAAAAATGACCACAAACTCAGACAAATCACCCCAAAAATTACTCAAAACTAAGCCAAATCTCCCAAAAACATAACTAGAAACTCACAGAAATCTCCCAAAAGTATGACCAGAAACTCACAGAAATCTTCCCAAAAAATGACCCAAAACTCACCCAAATTTTCCCAAAAAATGACCCAAAACTGACGGAAATCTCCCCAAAACATGACCAGAACCTCACCAAAAACTCCCCAAAAAATCACCAGAAACTCACACAAATGTCCCAAAGAAATGACCAAAAACACAAATAAATCTCCCCAAAAAACCACCAGAAACTCAACTAAAACTCCCCCAAAAATGACAAGAAACTAACCCAAATATCCCCAAAAAATGACAAGAAACTCACCCAATTCTCCCCAAAAAATGACAAGATACTCAGTCAAATCTCTCCCCAAAAGTGACCTCAAACTCATCAAATCACCCCAAAAAAATGACCAGAAACTCACCCAAATCTCCCCAAAAAATGACTAGAAACTAACCCAAATCTCCCAAAAAAATGACCCAAAACTAACTCAACTCTCCCCAAACAATGACCAGAAATTCACCCAAAACTCCCAAAAAAATGACCAGAAACTCACACAAATCACCCCAAATAATGACCAGAAAAACATCCAAATCTCCCCAAAAAATGACCACACACACAGATGTCCCCAAAATACGACCAGAAACTCTCCCAAATCTCCCCAAAAAATGACCAGAAACTCACACAATTTCCGCAAAAAATAACCCAAAACTCAACCAAATCTCCCCGAAAAATCACCAGAAACTCATCAAATGTCCTGAAGAAATGACAAAAACTCAAATAAATCTCCCCAGTCAAAGACCAGAAAGTCACGTAAACCTCCACAGAAAATAACCAGAAACTCACACAAATGTCCCCAAAAAATGACCCAAAACTAACTCAAATCTCCCCAAAAAATGATCCGAAATTCACCCAAATCACCCTAAAAAATGACCAGAAACTCACACAAATCTCCCAAAAAATATGACTAGAAACTCACCAAAATCTCCCCAAAAAATGACCCGAAACTCGACCAAATCTCCCCTCAAAGTGACCTAAAATTCACCAAAAAATCCCCAAAAAATAAAAAGAAACTCACACAAATCTCCCCAAAAAATGACCCGAAACTCACCCAAATCTCCCCAAAAAATGACCACACACTCACACAAATCTCCCCAAAATATGACTAGAAACTCACAGAAATCTCCCCAAAAAATTTCAAGAAACTCACCCAAGTCTCCCCAACAAATGACCACAAACTCAAACAAATCACCCCAAAAAATTACCCAAATGTCACACAAATCTCCCTAAAAACTGAACACACACTCACACAAATCTCCCCAAAATATGACCAGAAACTCACCAAATTCTCCCCAAAAAATGACCCGAAACCCACCCAAATATCCTCCAAAAATCACCAGAAACTCACCAAAATCTCCCCCAAAAAATGACCAGTAAATCACACAAATCTCCTCAAAGTATGACCAGAAACTCACAGAAATCGCCCCAAAAAATGACCACAAACTTACCAAAATCTCCCCAAAAAATGACCCAAAACTCACCGAAATATCCCCAAAAAATCACCAG